TGTCAGTTTCAGAGGGTGACCTCTTAGTTTAGTGTTGTGGTTCAATTCCAGCAGCGGACGGCAAATGTGGTTTGGGTTCTTCAGAATCTGCTAACCATTATGAGATCCCCCCGCAAAAGCCGATATCGACTACTGTATATTCTTAGAGATTTCAGTCTAAGCTGATAGGGCAGATGAAAGAGGCCCCTGACGTTCTTGGTTGCCCTTCGTTGCGGAGTCTCGAGAGCAACGAGATCCTGTTACTGCCACGGCTGTCACGCCTGAATAGCATATTCCATGTGAGGTCGCACGTAGGCGTTAAGCATTTGGGGAAAGATTGAGGGTTCAAACCGACCGAAGGCTCTGCGAAGAAGGCCGAAGTGTTGATTTCTTATTCTCCTCGCCTTCTCTGCTTGTTTTGAACACCCGAGATCTTCCTGTACCAATACACCCAGGTCACGCTCCTGAGAAACCTTCGCCAAGGGGTGGTCTCCAATCTTGTAAGCGCTCACCGGCTGGTGACGCAGATGCATCACTTTGCATTTAGCCATGTTCAATTGAAGCTTGTTCCTCCTTGACCATTCTTAAATGCAATCTAGGTCATGTTGGAGCAGATCCTGATCTGTCTTGTTACTAATCGCCCGCCATATCTTAACGTCATCGGCGAAAAGCAGGAAATTTGAGGAGATGACTCTTGCCAGGTCGTTGATAAACACCAGGAATAAACGCGATCCCAGCACTGAGCCTTGCGGGACACCGCATTCCACCTCAATTGGATTAGAAAGTGATCCCCTAACACGTACTTGGAATTTTCGTTGGTAAAGGAAGTTGCCAATCCAACCAAGTACTGGATCTCCGATTCCGTAACTTTGTAGTCTTTGAAGTAGGATGCGGTGATCAAGGTGGTCGAAAGCTTTGGAGAAGTCCAGATAGATGACGTCGACTCCGACCCCATCATCAGCCACTTCCGTCCAACTACCTCGTGCGATGAGTAGGTTGGTGGTGCATGACCTGTGTTGACGGAAGCCATGCTGTTCCGCTACCAAGATGTTGCATTTTTCCAGAAAGTCCATTAAAGCCTCAGCGACGACTGCTTCCATCACCTTCGCGAGCACAGGGAGGAGAGTCACTGGATGATAGTTAGCAGGATCGGAACGGCTACCGCCTTTAAAAATAGGAGTTATAATGCCACACTTCCACATAGTGAGGACTTGTTGTTCATCAAAGCACCTTTGGAAGAACTGTGACAGTGTTTCAGCTAGCTTGGTGGCCACAGTCTTCAGTGCCTTCGGGCGGATGTTGTCTGCTCCCGGAGAACTATGTTCACGCAGTGAGAGTAACTTCCTTAGCACAATTGATGGGTTGAAAATAACATTTGTAAACAAAGGTGTCGTTAATGAGCTTGATATTATGGGACAGGTAGAGGTTGCGAGTTCGAAGATTGGGGCGTATTGCAGCCGCAGGGCATTAGCTGCTTCTTCGGCGCTTTGTACTCTACCGCCTGTCGTGAAAAGTAGGGGTATTCCATGCTTCACTTTACGAAGCTTATTGACATGCTAATACAGCAGTTTGTTGTTTGCAATGAACTTTTTGGCTAGGCACTGTCGATAAGTTATTTTGTCCTCACGGACAATTGCGGTGCAATGGTTTCGATGGGCCAGGAAATTTCCCCAAGTCTCTGAGTCGGGGCTAATCTTGTAGGCACGCCATGCTGCATTCCTTATCGCCAGGCATTTTCGAGTCCTACTCCTTATAATTGAAGGCATTTTCGCGGGACGACGGGGTTTGGTCTCTGTTGCCACCGAGTTAACGTTACCAACCTCCAACATTGATGAGTTCCTCGTGTTGCAGGGCAAATTAATGGATTTGGAACTCCCTCGAGAACTGGTAAGTCACGTTAAGTGATTATGCATTCATGACTTAGACCACCCACATGCGGTCCACACCCGCCGGCACGGTATCCGAGGCCGTTCGGTACATGCTGGACAGGGGGATGAAACGCGATGCGTTGAGCCAGATAAACTCTGCTAGTGCCAAGAACGCATTACCTTTCAAGAAGACGCATACTTTCAGTGCGCTTCAAGCTAGCTCAGATAACCTTTTTCACAGGACCTTGTTTCTCAGAAGTTATAGTTAACCGGTTCGGATGCACGGGCAACGAGGTTGCAAACTGTGTTTGCAAATGGTTGCAAATTACCCGCAGCAACCTGCACCGACGTACATCAGCACCATCGAGCAGTCAAGAATCTCAGGTACTGTGTAGTATTCCTGCTGTACCTAACAATTTCCATTGCAGGCTTTAGAGATTATAGATTTGGACAACCAGTGCATCAATGAACCACCTACAACCATGTAGATATTTGTTTTCATATTAATATATATTTGTAATACTTTCCCGTGTGCTTAAATTGTTCCCCGGTAATTTGGCGTATCGTATACTATCCCACCGCCTCGGCGCGTATCGTGACCATGGCGTTCGCCTACCGTGTGAAGGGAAAGAACGCAGTAGAGGTCATGGTCGTTTACTTTTTCAAATTCACGGAAAACTCCGTTCCGCATTTTCCTATTTCGCAGTAGCTGCAAACGTACGGTTGTTCCGACATCTCTTAAGATGGATGCCAGCATTGGGAATCGTGTAGGATGGAATTACCCACCAACCCGGTATTTGCTCGGTGGTAACTTCGTAACATTTTCAGACGGCGACAAGCAAATGTAGCCAACGAATGCGCAGGTGGTAAGTGCATACATTAATCTTAAATGTAGTCTGATTATTTAATAGATTCACTTACACTGTGCGTCTCTAATTCGTATGGGGTTCACTGCACAGTCCACGCCAAACGTGCAACCCTTCCAGGTCGCTTGGGCAAATGAACTGTTAGATATTAAGAAGAGCTTCATTGTGATTACGAAAAACCGTATCGCCTGGGTCATGGGGGGAAACCCCTTCCTGTAGCGTGGGCAAAAGCATTGCATTGTGTCGTTCATAGTAAGGTAACCGTTTATGTACACTAGCCGGCACCTTCGTATCGTGACGTTCATACGAAGAAACGCCTTTAGATGAACTACGCGAAATCTTCGTATTGCCTCCTTCGTATAAAGAAACGTCTTCGTATTCCCTAAGCAAAGCCTCCGTAGTACTTTGTCATTACGAAAAGCCGTTAGCCTCACTAGGAAGTTCCTTCGTAGCTACTACGAAAAGCATTAGTTAAGCTTCCACAATACGAAGAACAGCCTTCGTATTTACTAAGAAAAACCTTCGAATATACTAAGAAAAACCTTTGTATTGCTTCTACGAAGACTACCCTTCGTATTTACTAAGAAAAATCTTCGTTTACCTTCGTAAGTGCAGTCCGTTTGTCATCTGATTGGTTGCGTACGCTGTACTCAATCGCCTGCGTACCATGAACCGTACCGCTCATTGGTGGATATAGACCTTCGTAATCCTCGTGTCACCCAGCGGCAAACACTAAGCTTTTACGAAGCGAAGTCTCAGTCTACCTTCGTAAAACCTTCGTTTACCTTCGTAAAACCTTCTTTTACCTTCGTACTCCACCCGGACATGTATAACTAAGGAAAAACTTCGTTTACCTTCATTTTTGCTATCAGGGGTATCCCCGTATCTCCCCATCTGTCTTCTCGTCGTTTAGGTGCTTCTGACTTTACACATGGATCTGGGTAACTATGTGTCTATTGGAAAGTCAGACCGCTCAATGGCGTAGTCTATCATGATTTAAACAGTTTGTACCTAACATTGAAGGGTCATTGTGAAACACTAGTTTTGAGCATGGAACACGATACGCCATATCAATATGCACCGCGATTCCCACTGAATTAAACCTTGGCCAATTCGATCACTTGAACCCTAACTGATGAAGCGGATAGGCGACGATCCAGTAGTCCCCTGTCACTCTATGGGCCTTTGCGGATTTTGTGTGGGCCAACCTATTCAGATGCTCAATTATTGGATCAGTTTAGGCTCTCATGACTCCACTGAACACAGCATTGTTTTATTAGTCTTGTACTACATGAAACGACCAAAATGAGCGATGAACGACAGTCGCCCATTGGTTGCGCAGTTCTGTTGCCTTATCATGAGCAGAATAGGGCCTGTACATTGTCTCGTCTCGTTACACACATGGGACTTGTCAAGCCTTCCTCTTTTACCGGTAATACACCATTGCTCCAATGTTCCTTGATAGTAAACTGCAGCATTTGGCCAATAAATTTAGACTAGGTTCAATGAAGTCACCCACATAGGATACGCGGAGGCACATAGAGGGAGAGGTGAACCCGGGTCACCGATTTGATCGAAGTGAACAACGCCAGTGATCAAGAAAGGACTTGCACAATCGCCCCCTGCTTGCACAGTCGCGCTGCATACGCGCGAGCACAATGTGGTCTGAACATTGTCCAGTCGTTTTAATCGCATTCCTATGCTAACCACTTGTAGCATTAGGCCGAACTACACCGCGATATTCTCTGAGACAATTACCTTCTACTTGATGGAGTTTCTCTTCTTTTTCTCTCTTCTACCTAATTCCTTTCTATAGCCGTTTCGGAGGGCGTGGTGGAATGTCACGCGCTGAGCCGGCGTGCATTCTGTTTAAATGCCGTATAAGCCCGATGAAGATACGGCTAAAAGGCGAGTCCAACCTGCTATAAGGTTGCTTGGCTTATCACCCGACCCGACCCAAACTTCTTTTACCCTATGGGTCAAATAAAACTCGAGTTTTCATTCCCATTAAATACAATGTTCCAATGCCAGAAAGAAATTCGGCCCAAGCTATGTATTACGTTGCAAGCTCCGCAAGCTAGCAGCCGAATCAAGGTTGCTCAAACCCCATTCACATTCTGACACAGGGTTTGCCGCTAGTCACGTTCCGGCTGGCCATGGCTCCACACCCAACAGCCGATCGATGAGTTACCAGACTTCCATTGGTCACTTGAAGGACCGACTTAGTGCGTCGCAATGTCTTAGTCATAGCGTCGTGGTGCACGTCCACCGATTGGTCAGAAGAAGGATGGATTTTCCTCGATTGGTTAGGTCTAACAAGGAGCGTGAACAACATTGCGGCCATTTGTTGGAAAGGTGCCTTCGGTCACGGTGCGTACGTTGGTGGCGTTGCTTGGGTCCGGCGTCCATCGCCCCGCAGCACGTGCTGAAGGTCTTCAGGTACGGTTGGTATTTGGTGTCTGATTTTTGCGACTCTGGGTAATCATGCACCGAGGCTGGTTGCTGTTCTCTCAGCTAGTGTGTACTCAGGCCGTTAAATTAGTCCTTTTTTTGCTAATTATCCTTATCTGATACCGTCTATCCATTTGCCATCACCCCCGATGAACTAAGGATTTTCGAGCACCAAACTACTATACAAAACCGATTGTTTACAAACCTCTCTGAACTCATGACTACTCGATCGGTTCCAAGTATCTTCCAAGAATTTGAAATAAGTTAATTGATTTATCTGATGTTTCACTTTTGACACAAGCTTCTTCAGGCTTTTTTTAATCGTTTTTAACCTGGCCTGCTTTCCAACCAGCCAAACGAAATCTGTTTTATAGTTCTTGTACCAGCCACCTCTGGGGCAGCTCCTTTTGGCGACCGGTGTAATATTTACGTGTACTACCATCGTGCTACGAACGCATCACTTAATGATAGAGACTTGTGCTGGGTAGCGTCACGGTACTTTGACTAATACCTTGCCCGCCTGATGCTGATGTTATGGGGGGGGGATGGGTCTCTTGCAACTGACCAAACGAAGGGGTACGAACTGAACAGTCTGTCACCGGCTTCCAATAGGCTCGATTCCCTAACTTCCCTTTGCTGCCCTGCGTGCAGGTTACTCAGCCAAAGGCTCGGACTGGTGTCACTTAAGCACACTATCTCGGCTTGGGTAATCGGGTAGTGTCGTGCCCTGTGTTGTGTCCGGTTTTCCTTTTCGGAAACTACTTTCCAGTTTTCCATAGTTTCCGATAGCTACATGTCTAAATAACTAGTATCACTAATCTCCTGTCTTGGCTCAGTCGCGACCTAACAGCGATCTGTTCGTTGACCGATCATTTTCGTTTGGGCATGGGATACTTCGGTTTGGGCTCCGCGCATCGTTCCCATTAACCAGGAGGGCATTTTTCTTAGTGCATATTCACCATACTAGACCCAGATATCTGCTGCTCGACCAGCGTCAGCCTTGTACTCTAAAGGTCAACAGTTGGAATCTGCGCAGATGCAGGCGATCTCGCAGTACCCTATCTCTCGCGCGTCCCTGACAGTAGGATTTCAGTCTGAGAATATCCACAACGAAACAAATGTCGTCTGAAATCGGATACAAAAAAGTTGGTGACAGTTACGTTCTTTTCCAACGATTCACTGCCGACAGTGCGGGCGAAATCTATCAAAACAATACCGTGCATAGAAGCAGGTCCCCTGTGGAGGGTTCCATGGATGGCCGTAATACTTGGTTAAATTTCTATTTGTTATTGTTTCCAATTTTCTGATCTCCATATATATCTTCAGACTGCCAGTCACTTCAAAAACCCATTTGGGATCTATTGTATCAAAGGCGAACAATTAACTATTTTATGCGGTCACGTGGAAACAGTTGGTCTTTGCTGGAGGGGACGGGGTGCACGGTCCCTGTGGCCGTACTAAGCTCGAAGAGCGGTTCCATGCACTCAGTGTGGAGCGGACTACGGTCCAGCCACCTCCTTGTGTGCGCTTGATTCCCCAAATACAGCGTGCTTGTGTTTGCCTGTGAAGGAGTGTGGGCTGGCTCCGTTGATGAAATGTGGCTCCCATCCACCTGCCTCCCGGTCTTATTCATTCGGGTTTCCACTGGATATGGGGTGTGTGGTTGGAGCTATGGGTGGTGCATCGCAAACGGCCGATGTTCCCTCTGTAGGCGGAGGCGTTCTGTGGCTGACCACAGTGACAGGCAAATCCGAAACAGGACGCCGTCAACCATGTATGTATGTGTGCCCCATGCTGAGGCTGATGTTGCATTCTTGTTGCCTCTTCACCTCAGTTGGGCTAAATCAACTTGTCTTTTTAAGCTGGATTAGTTTCTTTCCAATTTTTGGTTTATTCTTCCTCCTTGAATAATATTTTATTAACTGGCCACCTTGCTTACGCTAATTGCGCTTATCTTCGGTAACTTGGTTGTGTTTGTAGCATTTTTAAGTAACGTGTGGACATTTTTTCCTTATCGCGGATTCGTTGCTCAATAACTTACTTCATATGCTAATTTAGCCACCGTATCTGTATGCATTATTGGATTTATTTTATTTCATCTTGTCGTTTCAAGTGAATGGCTGTTGCTTGATATCCCCGGTGTGGTTGCGCTTGATGTGCATGTTGACAAGATGCCTACCTGTCTATTACCCACTACCTTGTTCAAACTGGCTCCAGGAGACAGTTGGTCGTTGTTGGAGGGGACGGGGTGCACGGTTCTTGTGGTCGTGCTAGGCTCGAAGAGCGGTTCCATGCACTCAGTGTGGAGCGGACTACGGTCCAGCCACCTCCTTGTGTGCGCTTGATTTCCCCAAATACAGCGTGCTTGTGTTTGCCTGTGAAGGAGTGTGGGCCGGCTCCGTTGATGAAACGTGGCTCCCATCCACATGCCTCCCGGTCTTATTCCTTCGGGTTTGCACTGGATATGGGGTGTGTGGTTGGAGCTGTGGGTGGTGCATCGCAAGCCACCCATGGTCCCTCTGTAGGCGCAGGCGTCCTGTGGCTGGCCACAGTGATAGGCAAATCCGAAACCAGATGCCGCCAACCATACCTTGGCGCGCTGACACTCTAAGCATGCGCGTGCCCAAATGCGGCCATCGCGATGGAGGTTGGGTCATGCGAAGCGTTCGTTTACTAGCTTCTGCGAAGCACGTGTGCCGGGATGAGACAGGTTGTGTAAAGCGTTGAATACTAGTCAACGCATCGAAGTAGGAACTACGAATTGGGGAGAAGTTTGTGAGGCGTCTCATAGAATGGTCCCCTCAGATGAAGCTAGTGGGACTTCGCGTAGTTTCAAAGAGGGGTTGCGTCGTAGTTTGTCTATGTCGGGATCAGCTTGTTGGGTAGCAGCCATGGCGGCTAGGTCGTTGTTGGTGCCAGGCAATAAGCCGATCTGATGAATGCGTGAAAGCGCGTCCGCGACGGGATTGACAGCACCTGAGACATGTCGTACGTCTGTCGTAAACTGAAAGACGTAGTCTAGATGTCTAGTTTCCCGCGGAGAATACTTGTCTGTTGTGGCGTTGTTAGCGTAGATCAATGGCTTGTGGTCATTGAAGACTGTAAAATGTTGGCCTTCGAGATAATGGCGGAAATGTCTGATACCTAGTTAGTTAGCGAGTGGCTCCCTACCGATTTTAAACGTTTCGCGAAGCAACCTAGAGGTATCCATCGATGGTCGATGAGTTGTTGAAGAGCTGCACCGACCGCAGTGTCTGATGCGTCAGTTATCAAGGTGAGCGGTGCTGATGTGTCCGGGTGGGCGAGAAGCGCTATGTTAAAGATAGCGTCTGAGCTTCTCAAAAGACAGTCGATCGTCGTATGGTAAGTGAAAAGCGCGTTGGTTACCGCGGAGTAAGTCAGTCATTTGTTGAACAATGCTCGCGCAGTTAGGAATGAAGCGTCTATAATAGCTGACCAGACCAAGGAACCGGCTTATTTGTTTGAAGGAACTAGGAGCAGAATAGTACTTCAGAATTTATATATATATATATATATATATATATATATATATATATATATATATATATATATATATATATATATATATATATATATATATATATGTCACTGTGGCCAGCCACAGGACGCCTGCGCCTACAGGGGGACCATGAATGGCTTGCGCTGCACTACCCACAGCTCCACCCACACCCCATATCCAGTGTAAACCCGAAGGTATGCGGATGGGAACCACGTTTCATCAACGGAGCCGGCCCACACTCCTTCACAGGCAAACACAAGCACGCTGTATTTGGGGAAATCAAGCGCACACAAGGCGGTGGCTGGACCGTAGTCCGCTCCACACTGAGTGCATGGAACTACTCTTGGAGCCTAGCACGGCCACAAGGACCGTGCACCCCGTCCCCTCCAGCAACTACCAACTGTCTCCTGGAGCCAGTATGGACGAGGTAGTGGGTACTAGACAGGTAGGCACCTTGTCAACATGCACATCAAGCGCAGCCACAACGGGGATATCAAACAACAGCCAATCACTGGAGAGAAAGAATAAAAGAAAAAAAAGAAGTACTCGATTAATGCATAAGGAAACGGTGACGTAAACCTTAATTGAATGAGCATATGTAATAAGTTGTTTACAAACAAATCCTAGCTAAGTGCACGAGGTCAGGAAATATAGTTCACGGAATACCACGAACACAAATATGCTACAGAAATCGAATGCAATTGGCTTAAGCGAGGTGTGCAAGTTAATGGAATAGAGTACAGGGAGATATTTATACGAGAAAGATAAGCATTAAGGCAAAATTGAAAACCCACCACCTGAAATAGAGACTTAGCATGCAAGCACGCGGTTAGTAAATCGAATTCAGCGTGCCTACAAACGCTGCGCCGGCTCGGCGTACTTCTCTGCAGGACCCGTCGTCGCTTCTGTAGTGGTCCCGAGTGGCCTAGCTCATGGCCCACTAGACATTTATATGAGAAAGAAAGGCATTAGGAGAGAACCGAAAACCCACCACCTGAAATAAAGAGACTTAGCATGCAAGCACGCGGTTAGTAACTCGAAAGTCGAAAGCAGCGTACCTACAAACGCTGCGCCGGTGCTGCCTACGTTCACTGCTGGACCCGTCGTCGCTTCGGCAGTGGTCCCGAGTGACCTCTCTCATGGCTCACTAGGCCTGCCTGACTAAGGCACTCGCGACCGCATGTTCTACAGCACCATGCGCTCGATGTCGATGGAGTACAATTCATCGGTGCTTGCCGCTTCCGCACTTGCCGCTTCTTCTCTGCATGCATGAGGGCTTCCTCCCGCACTTCAGCAACCGCCTTCGTGATTAGATCGCGCCATGCACCACGATCAACCGCCTTCGATTCCCATGATCTGCAATCAAGATTAGAACGTGTGAGGCTCACTTTGATCATGTCCTGGTAACGTAACTTTGGTTTCCCCACGTGCCGCTTCCCAATACTCAGTTGACCGTATAAGAGTTGCT